AAGGGGGTCAGTACAAGGACTGGCCAGGAAATGGTAGTTAGCCTCTGCCACCTGAGCTACAGATAAAAGGGAGAAAAAATACTTTTGGGCTTGTAACACAGGATACAGAGCAACCACTGGCAAAGAATAAGTCCAGAGGGTTGGTTTGTTGTTTTTTTGTTGGGGTTTTTTTTTTTTTCCTCTGCTGGAAAACGGTGAGCTGTATGTTTTGGCCCATTGTAAAAACACTTAATGTTTGAGGCCCTAAGTAAGGGAAAGTGTCTCCTTCCAGACATGGGGGAAACAGTGGTTTTTGCTACATAGGTGAATTTCAAGTTAGCTTTAGCCTTGGTTAGCTTCAGATACCTTCTAAACACTGAAACAATACATGAGGCAATGGCAACTATTGTATGTAGGGCAATACAAGTGTTCTTTCAAAGATAGTTCTTTGTGCAGTCACAGAAAAAAAGTCATAAGGCTTTTTCAAGCAAGAAGCCCCAAAGCACCTTTGAAAAGCCTGCTAGGGTTTGTCTGGCTTTTTTAAAAGAACTTCTTATTTCATAAAGAAAGCTTCAGATTTCAACGTCTGTCCCTTAAAGCAGTGCAACCAAACAGCTGCATCCACACATACAACCTCTGTTTAAATGAGGGTTTTGCAAGTCCAGCACTTGGTAGGATTCATGCTCCCCACTGGAAAAAGCCAGTTCAAAGAGTGCAGTATCTCAGCTCAGTATAAAGAACTGTTCTTCATAATATTTCTCCTAAAAACTGAAAAAAAAATTCTTAAAACTTTCATTTTAAGACAAAGGGAGAAAAAGTTCTGCCTAGCACGTACGGAAGAGCAGCAACCCTCAGGCTAATCAAAAAACAACACATGCAGGTGCTATTCTGCTTGTCCTTCTCTCTGCAATCCTGTCAAAAATCCAGAGTTTGAAGCAGAGGAGCGTCATATTACATAAGGGACATCCGCAGATCAATTATTTTCCCCAGGAATCCGAAAGCTCTGAAACACTGTTAGAAACCTCATTTTAGACAAGTCAGAGCATGGCTACCACAGGGACATGCTCAACTCAGAAAGAAGATTAATGTCTAGATAAATAAATTTAGATAAAGTCCAGCTCCTGTGTTATACATGCTGCAAATACTACTATGAATATAAAATCTTTGTTTTGCAAATCCCTTCCACAACTGGCTCCACAGATCACTCAGCTGCCCAAATGTCCAGTGTGGTACTCACTTACATAACCCCTCTTTGATATCCTCTGGGCACAAAACATTTTTTTCTTTCTGTGCACTTCAGCTAAAATGATATGGATTGAATAATTCACTCCCACAACTCAAGCCAGATCAAATGTAGTAACTTCAATCCAAAGCACTGTAAAGCACTACTACTATTAATAGAATATTGTGTTATAATATATCATGCTTCAGTTTTGCATTTGCATGGTGTATGCCATTTCTCCCCTGGTTTATGTGTGGATAACTCCACAATGCCCGAAGGGGACCTTGTCCCTGCGCATGGCTGCAGTCCTGACAGCTGAGGGAAGCATGTGTGGGACAGCACTCTCCAAAATAATTCAACCACGACTGCCTTTCCTTCCTGAACTGTTGCCAGCGCTTGTGAAACCACCGGCTCGACTAGCACGTGGGTAGTTGGCCTGAAGCAAAGCGACCTCCTCCCCTGCTCCACTCTCCACAAGCATCTGGAGGCCACCGAAGAGGCACAGGCCAATCTCCGCAGTAAAAGGCAAGATGTACTGCTGTGGGCAACAGCATGAGAGCCCCTCCTGCTCCTCTTCCACATGGGAGACCACAGGCGAGGCACAAGTAGGGAGAGTAAGCCACGCTGCAGAGGAACTGGCAAGTGGGAGCATGTCCCCACGGATGCCTGCACAAAGGCATCCAGAGAGGATGAACAAGATATGAATAGACAAAAGTGTCAGTGTAAAGTTGGGCTATCCAACGAAATAGGCAAAAACAGGGTAACTCTTGCCTATCTGCCTTATGCACATCATCTCATGATCACCCCCTCTGATTCTGCATGCACTTAAACCAGAGGGAACACTGTGCTTACATCAAATACTCATATAAACAGAAAGCAAAGCCAGTCAAAAACTGATCGAGCTCACACCCTCATAACAAGATTTTGAGCATAAACATGGTTATGGTCTTGCATGCAAACAAATAAGCTTTTATTTGAAGTGAAACAACCCAGCATTGACATCACTTCCATTGACATGGACCCCCTAAACTGTGTAGTTTTAGATTTACAAATAATGAAATAATTACCATCTCTCATCTTACTGTATGCACAGTAACCTTCTGTGCATATAAAATAGGATTTTGGGCTGGAATGTCCCCAAGATCTCACTCCTGCTAACGCCATTAATTCTAGCAGCGCATTATGTGAAATAGTTACAAGTATTCTAATATTCTTCTGCAACTTGAAGGAGCTGCTTGCTCCATCTGCAGAACACTGGCATGCTTGAGGATTTGTCCGTTGTGTTGCAGCACTCATGGCGCAGTTGTGCACACAGCGAGAGTGTACCTTCCACACTGGGCTGAGACAGAGTCGCTGCCAGCAAGTCCTGCACTGCTGCCAGTGCTCAGCTCCCTTACAATGAGCTTGGTCCAGCTCCTGCTCTGTTTTGTGTAAACAGCTGCATTCCAGGACCACAGTTTAGCTCTAATTTCTTAATAAAAATATAATTTAGTTTATACTCTAGTCCTAAAATTTGAGTAATTTCTAGTTCTCGCTAGTGGTTCTAAGATGCCCAAACTCCATCTCATTCAAAACTGTTCTTTTGTTCCACAGTTAAAGACTATAACACTTTTAATACAAGGATTTTTTTTGACTGCTTCACACACAAAATTTAGGAATGACTGTAGGATATACTTGGCCAATTTTAATATCAGACAATTAAGATTCCTCTGCAGGACCGCAACTTTCCCACGTCAGTTTTATCTCAGACAACTTTAAAATTGCCAGTAACTAATAAATATAGCAACTAGCGAGTGCAAAGTATTACTTACATATATTTATGTTCCAAACTAAGACTTAAATGAAAATACTGGCTGATACTAGCAGCTACACACTTTTAAACACTTTTCTCTAAAACGAAACCTTAAGTTATTGGTTCCTTTAGTAATCATGCAACTCTGTGCATAAAACCCTCGACTGTAGCTGACAAAGCCTGGCTGTTACTTCCATCTCTGCCACAGGACCTTGGGCAAGGCATCTCACCTTGCCTCAGCATATCTGCATGTAGAAAGGGCTATATAAGCCTGGTGTTAGTTATAAATATTTATTACTGTCACTTGGATTTTCCCTCAAGGCTTTCATGCAACAAAATGGCAGCTTCTTCGTGGGTACTTGAATGATCCCCATAAAATTTAAAAGAGCTCAAGTCTCAAGACTAAGCTAGGAAGCAAAGGACTGTAATTAATTCTAGTAGAGATCAAGAATTGAACTTGTGTCAGATTCTCATGGAGACTCACAGTGAAAGGTGCTATTCCTCTTATCCTGTACATTTTCAAAGAGCTCATCGAGTTCATTTTTACCTTCAGGAAATGAGCCATATAAAATCAGTCATATAGGTATCAGCAGCAGTAACTCCTTTTTCAAAACTGTGTGTCATTGGGACATAAGCCTTGGGCCTCTCCCAATCTCGTATTTTTCCATTCTCATGGTTATTTTGCCATCTAAATTGCTCTTTTTAAAAATAAATAAATAAATAAATAAATTCACTCTTTCTGCCATGGAAAGCAAAAGCATTTCCTGCATGCCAAAAACCCAGAAGTTATAAAATATTCTAGACTATGGTCAAATCTTGTTTTCCAAATTGAAAACACAGTCCATTTTGACCTGGCCAGTATATGCTTGAAAATCTTCAAAACTGGCTATAAAAATACTTTAAGCCTATAACCCATACAAAATGTATATAATCTATGAAGTAGTTGTATAATCTACAACACAGCTACATCTGTATAATCTACAATAAGAACTGCACGGCCAGGCTTTGGCCCAGGTTTGTAAACCCATTTTACAGCCTGGCGACCTGCAGCGATATGTCCTTTCACAGCACACTGGGGCTGTGACCTCCAGTCCCGGCACAGTCAGCGAGCAGAGCCTGCAGCACACATGCTGCTAAACAGTGCAAATCAGGCTGCTGGACCTCCGCCACGGGAAGCAAAATAAGGTTGGACTTCTTCCCATGTGTGTATTTGAGATTTACTTCTCTCAAAGACAGTCCCTGACCTTGACCGTGGCCTTTTAAATTTATGGATTGGTAACAAGGAACTGAGGAATGAAAACACTTGAAGCTCTTACCCTCCATATTTACCACACCAGATGGTTGCTGCTATGTGTCAGCATCAGCCCAGTTTTACCATGTAACAGTGCCTAGGTACAAGAATTCTGTCTTATCAGAGATGGTGTGAAGGCTGACTTTTAACAGGTCCCAGTGCTTCTTGCTCTGATAATACATTTTACTCACCCGGAACTCTCTCTTTGAGGGATCTGAAGAATTTATTGCTGGATACTCCTCTCTCCCAGGTGCTTACCTCTTTAAAACAGTAGTTAGACTGGTTTTTGCTAGGCATATATCCAACCTTTTGTCTAGTCAAGCAAAGTTGACCTGATTTTCAGGAAACCCTGTTGAAATCAGTGAGCCTCAGTCATCAGAAAAACACAGAGATGAACCAGGCATCTAAGTGTGAGATAACAGCAGTTTTTTAAGAAGGATCCTCCTTTGTCCTGAAATGGTACCAGAGGTTTCAACTTTTAATAACCAGGCCTAAAAAAGAAAAATCCACTTTTCCACTTCTGCTCTACATCACAAGTCTCTCCCTGTTCCTCACAAAAGCCTGGATATGAAAATATTTTCACTGGCTGATGGCTTTTGTAATGGAGTGGACAATCATTTCATTCCTAAAGCAAATGGATGTCAAATGCAAGGATAAATTTAAGCTTTTTTTTCCAGGGAATAACCTTGGTGTTTTTGTTGCATCGGTTACCTTACCTTCCATAAGAGCACAGCCAGCAACAGGAAGATGAGAATTCCCACCAGCAAACTGATGGCAATGATCCATCCGACAACATACCCACGAGGTTCCAGATTGTGTAAAGCCTCAAAGACCACCTACAAAGCAATTAGAAAAAGATCTTTTTATGATTGGAAGTTGTATTGTTTTCTCTTGTACTCATCTTATTAAACACATTGCATGGTGGCCTCACTGATCATATTTCAACTGTCAAACAAATACGGAATGCGTCCTTCATTTCGTGCTTTCCATCTATTTTTCGCAAGGGATTTAAAGCTTTCAAGTGGAATTTGAGTAAGCCATGCATTGGATCCAAAGGATATCAGCTTCCACCCTGAAATAACTCTTACGCTGCCAACCCTCACCCCAGATACTGAGCTTGTTCTGGTGCTGGGCCACCAAAGGTGCACAAAGGTTTGCACAAAAAAGTCCATCCCTTGGATTGGCAGGGATTACCATGACATCTCATGTGGTTTGTCTTACTCATCATGTTCCTGGTACTGCCAAACACCCCAGTGCTTCACATGAAGGACTCATGTACGCTGAGCTTGTTAACGTTTTTCCACAAAAAATGGGACAATTCGCATACATCGCTGTTGAATACAAATCGTCCCTGCTGCGCTTCACAAGGAACATTGCGTGTAAGAGGGAAGGGTGTGTACAGTCACGGGTTCTTCTGGGAATGCAGAAAGCAGACCCCTGCTGTTATTGTCTCTCTTTTTGTATAGCATGTATGGCAGGGAAATGCATCCTACAAAGTGCTTTCCTTAACTGTCTGTCTTAGGAAGAAAATGGGAGCAAATTATACTGCTTGTATACACTACATGAATTTTCAGTCTCTTATTTCAATCAAAACCAGTTCTTCAGTGGAAAACTCCAAAACAGTTCACCTCAGTGAGGGCTATTTCTATGTTAAAATTTGCAATTTAATATCCCGCAAATGCAGAGAGGCAGTAGGGATTTTTTTAAAAAGGTAATACATTTGCTTTGTCTGGCTTTGTTTTGATAGGGAAAGTAGTGAGTTTTCCTCCCTCCTTCACAAACCACTTTCATCATCTTTGCTTAAAAATGTCAAAACCCTTTAGTAGATATGAATTGTTAAATCAACTTTTTAAAGAAAACAAAAAAAATTTGCTTAATTTTAGAAGTTAAAAGTGGGTGAAAATCTGGGAGTTGAGTCAGATGCAATTATGCAACCCCAAGACACTCATTTTTAAGATGAGTGGGCTCATGGAGGATCCACCTTCACTCACCGGTGACAGCGTTCAACAATGTCATTCATGAGACATCAAAGGGAACACAAGAACATTCAACCCATACAGATGTTGAAGGTGGGCATTCAGGAAAAGGCTGCAACAGGGAAGTGATGGCAGCACTGGAACCAGGGCCAAAGAGGATCTGGGTTCTCCATCCTTGCAGGTTTCCAAGTCTCAGACAAAGCCATGGGGATCCCGAGTCAGTGCAGGCAACAGCCCTGCTCTGAGTGGGATATGGGACAGGACAGCCTCCCAGGATACCACTAATGAACATTCTTCTGTTTCAGTTAAGCATACAGCCTCAGCAAACACCCACAGAAATTACAGGTACAGATGAGAGAAAGCAGGTGAGTAGGGCTATACTTTGTCATGGTGTTCCCATAAAGAAGTACTCAAACGTCCTTTGCTCAGTTTAACAGGCTAATGCTGATTAAGACCACAGCTTTCCTGGAGGAGGAATTTGAACCCAGTTGATTTACACACATTGTTTTTTTTCTATTGATGAGATATTATCAGGCATTTGATGCTGATGAGACATGAAAACATAACAAATGGACAGGAATGAAACTACACATAGACATCAATACCCAAACATATTCCCATAACTAGTATCATAATGCTCAAAATAGCTCTCGAACATGGATCAATTCTTCACCTGAGAAAAAGAATAATTCTAGTGTTTCAGACATTAGTACAAAGCCTTTGTAAGACCTTTTAACACATCTTGCTGAACAGGGAAAGTTTCCTAAGTAGCAGAGTTTCCCTCACAGCCAAGATGAGTGTAAGGGAAATAGCAGAGAGATCAAACACGAATGTTGTGCCTTATTCATATTTCTGAACCAGCTTGGAAAGATGATCTGATGTGGCAGTCCATTTCTCATAGAGGCTATGCTTAGCATCCATCTTGTGGACACAAGTCTGATGACTATTTCTTAGATGATAAGTCAGTAATGTTATTTTCATTTCTGACTCTAAAAGAAAAAAAGTCTGTACATTTTAAGGACTGCCAACTTCAGTGAAGAGACCTTTCAAGCAGTCCCTGGATGCAAAATGACATGGTGTCTTCTCTCCACTCATCAGAGAGTAAATGTTAACATAACACAGTACAATAGACCTGTATCCAGCACAATAGACCTGTATGTCCTTCATGCTGCCAAAAGACAGAGCCAGGAATAGCTGCAAATCATACATCACCTCTACAGCAAGAGCCACACATTTCAAGTTTGAAGCACACTGGTTAGAATAGCTTGGCTGTAGCTTTTGCAGTCACAGCTCAAGCTGTAAGGGTAAAGAGCACCAACAGCTTCTTATCTATCCCGTTTCTTCTATCAGTCTGCAATCAACACACAAGCATAAAACCCGCCGTTTATGGCTTTGTGGTTTGGAGAGAAGCAGGGATGTTGCACATACTAATGTCCTCATCCCTCTCAAGCCCTCAAAATCTGCTTGCACTAATACACAGCCACTGCAGTGAGTTTGGGTGAAGAAGCAACCAACAACAAAAAACCCAAGCCAAACCCCAACCAAATCAAACTGAGCAGACAGTGTCGATCACACGTTAGGAGTATCAGAAAGAAGCCAGTACAGTAAGTGGTGGGAGGCCAGGAAAGCAAGTCATCCCAGGGAGGGAGGTTGGAGGCAGAGGGTGACATTACTAAAGAGAAGTGCTCCATCCACCACCTGCCTCTTGACCCCCTGGCCATCGGGCCATCTCTGAAAGCCGATCTCGAGCAAACCTTGAACTCCTTATCCTGACCACCCCAGCAGCACAGCCCCTACAGAGCAGCCAGCACACTGGGGAGCACAAGGCAGCGCCCAGCCCAGCGCACATCCCACAGCCCCAACTGATAGAGAAGACAGGACTGATAATAGTGACTGATGCTGAAGATAAGAAGTGGTGGCATTGGGAAAGCATCCCAGAGCGGGCAGCAGCTGTCTGGTTCAGAGAAAGCAGATGCAGCAGTCAGAAAACACGAAGCGTATTATAGGCTTGTTTTTGGACTCTGACGAAACACCAGGGAAAGGCTGTGAAAAACACAGTTGTCTTGATAATGTATATGGAGGTTTAGTTTCATATTTATCTTTTGCATTTCACACTGTATTTGCGGGATCTGAAAGCCCAGGAGGCAGCATAGTTTGCTGTTTAGCTGTATGTAGCTCACAGTCAACCAGGTTTTACCCAATGTAACTGATCTTCTGTAAAATAACAGAGATTTGCACCCTCCTACTGATTTCTTAAATGTTGAACCGTCATGGACAAATGCATCTACCAGTTCATCTTCTACCTGTGCCAAACATTTGCTATATTCTGATAGTCTTAGTGAACTAATTGAAAATAATCAGCATCTTTTTTTTTTTTTTAGTGCTTTTAAAATACCCTATTCCAGAAAAGTGTGTAGGCAAGAAGTTAACTGAGTAGGAACTCTGCAAATACTTAGAAGTTCATACTGTGCTGAAGCCCTTTGCAGAATACGCACACACTGCTGCACTGGAACTCAGACAAGAAACATACTTCAGCAATATCTGGTTAGAAATACATAATTGCAAAGTTTTCCTTTCTTTTCGCTTATGCACACTAAATTAATTTTATGCACTTGTATCCTGACCCACTGCCCATGGAAGACACAGGCTGATAAAACAATGTTATTTGATTTCTGTATTATCGCTCAGAATATTTCTGGTGTTTCAAACCACGCTGCACTGCTAGCTGACTTGTCCATCCAAGTGCTGTTATACTTGGGGGGACCTGCAGTAAAGACACCATTCTCCTATACATCTGTGCACATATGCATCTCTTTTTATATATTTATTTATTTACATATACTAAGAAAAACTTTACAAGTTCTTGAAAAATACAAACCTGGGTATCCTTGCTATCTGCTTGTCTCTGTCCCTGGGAAATGAACTGTATTTTATTGCTACTGTGTATTGTTCTGTTCCTTTAGCCAAGTTTGTGTTTCTACCTGCCAGACTGCACTGTAAAGGTAAGAAAATCTATAAAGGGATTGCTACAGTAACAGCTGCAAAGGTAAAACAAAGAAAGGAGAAACAAAACATGGTGAAAACAATAAGGCATCAAATAACCCACAGGAAAAGAGGCTGCAAAGCTGCACGTATCTGGCTCCAGCCAGGCTGGGATGTTCTGCCCATCTCAAAGGTAAGCTGGGGAGTACAGGTGCCTTTTTTGCTGTGTTCATAAAAGGCAGGAGGGGGTGGTGATGGGTTGCTGAGTGGAAGAGCTATTCCCATGTGCATTAAAAAACCGCTGGGACATCATGAGCACTGTCTAGGACCACAGGCTGCTCCTTCCAACACAGACATGGAGAACAGGCTGAAGTCAAGGAGTCCTCTGTGCCACAGGCAAACAGCTAAAGCTTAGGCACCTGAATAGGCATTTAAATCTCTCTGCATATAAAAACCCCTCAAAAACACCCTGTAGGTCTTCACAACCATAAACTTTATTTTTTAAGGTTGGTTTTTTTTTTTGGTTGTTGTTTTCCCTGAAATATATTTATGACTGCAAACAAACATACCTAAATCCTGGGGAAAAAAAAATAAATCCATGTAGGGCAACCACTTGACTGTGTTGAATTAAACCTGAGGTGACTGGGCTGAAAGTGAGAGTGAACTCTATCCAGAAGGAGGGAAAGGTTCAAAGGCTCGATAAAGCATACCAGTGCTGAGCTGACAGCACCAGAGAGTTATACAGTAGCCTTCAGCTCTACAAGGCACTTTGTGGCAGGAGCTGTGTGCATTTTATCTGGGGTCCCCCTTTCATCTGTTTGGGTTTGCATTCTCACTTTCAAGACAGGGAAGACTCAGGGGCATTTGGCTGGTTTTGACATAGTGAAATCTAGCCTGGTTTTCCCTCCACACTGGCACTCACAGAGAGAAGTCCTTTTGCTCCGTAAGAGCACTCCTCCTCCAGCACACGAGCAGCGAGCATGGGATGCAAATCCTTGGATCTGGCATTTGACCACTGTGGTCTCAAGGAGCTTATTGTTGGTTTTGCCTCACATGCAGAGAAGGGAGCCAAACCTGCATGGAAACTCATATGCTCAAGAAAATAAATCATGCCTCCTGAAAATACCACGTCATTGTTTTAGCCAATATATACTCATGTTAATACAACTGTCATCACAGAGCCAAACCCAAACTCTGCTCACCTTCTTCATGTGATTTGTCTAAGAGTTCAAACAGCCTATTATAACCAGAGACAGAAAATATATCATTCCAAATCACATAAAACCATATCCAAATCCAGAGAATTGGCTTCTGAAAACTGCATAAATGCATCTTTTTAAAAAACAAGTTAATTTCAAAGACAGCCTGCTACCCATCTTACAGATACTTACATGAGCTTTTGCATCTCCCTTACAAATCACCTACTACAGTTTCTGACAAAGCTGATATTGATATGTGTGGTCCTACCACCACGGGTACTTCTTACACTAGCATCACAAGTATCAGTCTTTCTTTTACTTCTGTCTTCTTTACAGATAGTTTGCACTGAGATATTGTAACACTGTATTGTAAAAGTGCCCAGTGCAGTAAGAGCACATGGTTCTAAAGAACCGTTTAAATGTGCTAACAAGTCTGCATTAAGCTCTAGAAAGCAAAAAAGGCCTTTTCAAATTTACCATGAAAAAGTGTCTAAGAAAATGTTTTTCATTGTTAGGGAACATTTTCATAAACAGAGGAAGTCCATGCACAACTGTTCAGAAGGAGCGGCTATCCAAACGGATATGGTACAGCAGTCCATGGTCAATGAAAATAATACAGGATGAGCTTTAAAAAGGAAGGGAGGAGTATGAACAAAGATACTTTTTCTCTCCTGTTTCTGCTTCTAGATAAATAGCTGTGGCTTGCAACAAGTACTATTCCCTTCTGCATTCCACAAGAAAAGAGAAGGGGGGAAATGAGTACCTTGAGCCAAACCACATGTCTTAAATTTTTCCCTGAACATGACCCTGTGCAAAACATACAGCAATGGTGAAGCCAACAGACATATGGAAATTGCATAAAGGAGAGAGCAAATGGCACTCACATTAGAAAAGACTTGAAATTACAAATTGATGTTACATGGCTACAACATGTCAAGCATGCTCCTCTACAGCTAAGGCTTCCCAGGAACTAGGACCAATCTCTTGCTTGAAGATTAATATAGCTTCCCAGCACACAGAGTGCACTTTATAATCATTGCAACTCAAGGCTTGGTGAAAGGCTTTCCAGGAATAGGAAAAGGACAATGGGGTTTTTTTGTTGTTTTCTTTTTTCTCCAAGCATTAGATAATAATGAAATACAGCAGAGCTTGTATTCCTAGATAAAAGCATTTCTAAATTTTGAACATTAAATAGTAATCCCACACATTTTACATTATGCCAATCACTCTGAGGGATTCAAAAACCCTTTACAGATCAAAATATGTGGTAGAGAGATCCTGGCTTCTTCCATTTCACTTGGGGCATGCGTATCACAGTCAGGTGTTACTTCAGTCATTAATGAAATTTTACCATAAAATTGCAAGATTTGCTCTGTGCAAGCACCAGAACTAAAGAGAGATAAAGCAATGCATCAGCAATCAGGGCTGCAGGTCACTTATAAGGCACATTCCCAGGGAAGGCTAGCTATGTTTTTCATTTCAGCTGCCAAGACTATTTTTTAATGCTCCCCAGAATGGTCCAGAAACCTGACAAAGAAAATAAAACAGAAGGGAAAAAAATGGGGTCTTGTCATACAAAAATTCTTTTTCTGACAGGTCTAATAAAATAGAAAGTTAAGTCTAGGGTTGCAGACATGCTGGTGGAGGAATGGTCACTGTAGTGGTGTCCTCTACTTTCAGACTGAAGGTAGTAAGTAGATGCCAGTTCAATTCTTCTTTTGCCTATAGGGTTTTAAATCCAGTATCTCTGATTTAAGGGCTTTAATTCAGGACATCAGTGTCTTTCAGAAGTGTGTTGAACTCAATGTTCTCACGCTCAAACCTCGATAGTACTCACTGAAATGGAGCCAATGACAGAAGGGTTGCATGGACTGGTGGTGATGACAATCACTGGGGATAAAAGGATAACTGAGAGATGGGACCTAGATCATGTTCTAAAAATACACAGCAATAGGAGAAACTGAAAGTAGTCCAGATTCCCTCTGATCCTCATGTGAGAGAGAAATAAGATATGAAACTTTAAAACTTCACCAAGCAAAGAGAAAGCTGAATTTGGGTGTGGCCCCCTATTCAGTTTTCATGTGTAAGTATTAGGCGACTTGGCAGTAGGAAACCAAAGCCATTACCTCCTCCAGTAGATTGTAAACATGGCCCCGTATAGTTTTACTTCCAGCCAAAGCTATACAGTGAATTCACCTTAAGCTTTAATAGTTCCCCTTCAATTTTTAATCCAGACTCACACAGATCAACACAAAATGCAGTATCAGGTCACACATGAATTCCACCATCTCAGCACAATGGAGCAGTTAAATGAATCTCTGAAAGTTTAGACCTCCTTGCCCATTTTCACAGCTCCCAAAATATCATTCAGACTTCTAAATATTTCATACTGGCACATCTGAAAAGACTTTGCTGGGGTTTCAAGTCTCTACTAGGTTTTCAAGGAAAATCTGCATTAGATTAAAGCAGAAGCTAACCCTAGAACAGGAAGTTAAACGTAACTTTGGCATGAATACCTCAAGGGTATTACAATTTTGGCTAGTACAACACAGATCCTACTGCTCCACGTAAGATCATCCACTGTGATGGCATAGTTATCACAGAGAGCAAAACCACAGAAGCACAGTTCACAGCACTGATAGTCTAGCCAGACAAAGTCTGGGCACTCTTATGGGCTAGCCCAGCCACAAATTCCATTTTGCATAGAGCTGTCAGTGATCTCCAGGCCACTGGGATCAGGAAACCTTTCTCTTTGGGTTTATTTACTCACTGGTTTTTCTTCTGGGCTTCCATTGGGCACCTCCACAACTCTGAGGTCAGGGTCCACCCTCACCCTTGCCCTTGTGACAAACTGGATGACTGATGAACTGTCCTGAAAAGTACAAAGAGGAAGAATTAGATTTGAGGGTACAATAAAAAAAGGACCAAATAAACCCCAAACAAAACATCAAACATTTGCCAGTGTAATAAACACATCTAGACAATGCTTAGTGGAGGTTGGGTTGTGAGTTAAGTACCATCATGGTTAAAACCTTGCTTTGAAAAAAAATGTATCTTATGCTCATAATAGACAGACAAAACTGAGCACATTATCCCAAATTAAAACAAAATCAGATATGTTGGACTTTAAATACATCATCTGTATTTGGCCTGTTAATGTTTCCCCCATTTACCGCAAAAGCAAAAGACAGAATGCTGCCAATCAACACAGGCAGGCTTAATATTAACCATCAAAGAAAAGTTCCTCTTTGTTTTTCAAGTGAACAGAAGATATACAAAACCTGGGATAAACTCAAGTATATCCCAAGGTGAAAACTTCTTAATCACTTGAACCTGGCACTGCAGATATCTTAAAAAAACCAATGTTCACCTCTCCCCTTATTAATATACATTTCTTCTATATTTTACACAGTGCATTTTAACAGGCATATTCCAATAAGATGCAATTTCAACTCATAGGTTAGTCATTTGTGTGCTGTTCACCTTGGGGAGGGTAGGTGATCAATAGAAAATGGCGTGTATTGGTGATACTGCCCCAAAGATGCGTGTAAGCACTCTATGCCTTTTAAAGGAGTGTTGCTAATGGTTATCTTGGAAAGGATCTGGAAGATGGGATGAATCCTAGTTATTCCCAGCACTGAATTTCCCAGAAGCACATTTTGTGTGTACTCAGTTACTTGCTTACATATTTCAGCATTTCTGTAAGTATGTAAAAAAATATCTGAAACCTCTGGCCTTGACTACGTTTCCTGTTTCCAAATACAAACGAACATTAGCAGACTGGTTGGTTTCAGCTGGAAAAGCTGAGAGCTATCAATTGCTTTAGGAACTGCTTTGTCATAAAGGCTCTCTCCAATGCTTTTAATCTAGCAGCTATCAAAGACAGGTTTATTTTAGTAGGCTCGTGTTATCAGCTTTCTCCTCAGATTATTTTATACATAATCTTACAGCATCATGCCACAATTACACAGCATTAAGTAAAGAAAAAAGTCCAAAATGCAATAAACCACTAGAAAATCAAGAGATATGCTGTCTCATTCAGTGGCTTCAGAGAATATAAGAATTAACTTGCAACCATTTGTTTCTTGTCAAAAATGTCAAGTTCAGCATTAATATGGTCGTGATGTATCTTCTTTGAATAATAATAATTTGAAGTAAAAAATTACAAAAAACTGCCACGTCTCTGTTTACATGGAAGGAATGATAGATAGTTGGTCACAGTTTACATGCACTTACTCTACTTTTAATTTTTCAGAATGAAAACTTTCAGAAATCAATTCAACTTTCAGGAGTCTCTAGCCTTAACACCACGCATACAATTAGGGGCCTCATTTGTTGTCTCTCAATGTATAAATTTCTGAACTTAATTTATTTCTATCTTATTGGGAAATGGGTAAGAACTAGGATTAACACCTCCATACATGCTGTTGATAAATAGATCTGTTTTCTTTGACACCATATTTTTTTTTTTACACGCTAGTGAAGAGAGGAAAGAATGCAAGTTTTGAGTCCATTGGCACGCATAAGCATTCTGAAATTGGTATTTAAGACAAACTACAAAGGAAGCACGTACCTTCTTCAGTATCTCAGTATTCAGCAGCGTATAGATACTTATATCACAAGACTCTGCTTTGGCTAGTGAGCTTAAATTGCAGCGTATAATTAAGCAGGACCTGCCTGGTCTTTCACAGTCCTACAGGAAATATGGAAAAAGCTGTTAGGCAAAGGAGGAAAAAATTCAGTGACAAATTGTGTGACAGCAAACATACCAGCTGACTAAGCTTCATAGCAAACTGCTAAAATACAGCACTCCTGCACTGAAATAAGAGCAACTTTCAAGACTTGAAGACAGGTAGATACAGACCCTTGCATGGAAGCAAGCCAGGTAAAAAATTCAGCCCTCTACAGAGGCGCTGAGCCAGGCAAGTGCCCAGGGCTGGGAGGAGAGGAGCCACTGCTGCACATCAGCCCTCTGCATGGGTCAGGCACCAAGCAGGGCGCAGGGCCCCGCTGCCCCATGTGCCTTTGACAAAACACAGGAGCGAGGGCTCTGGTCATCCAGTGCACACTGCCACGTCAGGTAACTCCCCACTGTACTTCCTGAAACTTCCTACTGCTGTTTAAAAATCAGATAATCAAAATCACTAAATATTCCCACAGCACAACATCAGTATCAGGATACGTGCACCAAACAGCTGCTCTGTAATGAACTCTCTGCTTGAGTTCTTCATGCTAAGCCTTGCAAAAATCTTTTGTAAGATACACTGTATGTTCAAGTTTGCCACAAATGGACTTTCTTACCAATACTTTTCTGCCGGACTTTGTGAAAAAAGCAAATATTGTGTGGAAAATATTTTCATTCTCTTGAGGAACAACACATGGGCTGAGGTTTCTGTGAAAAGAACAGCTTCCTTTGTCTTGACCAACCTGCAAGCACAATTATAAATCACAATTATTATCCTGAATTAAACACAAGAAGGTAAGATTACCCTCTCTATAAAAATACACCTACATCTGAGCTGGATGTCTGGACTCCCATTAATAGTCAAAAGAGAAATAAGTGTTTCAGGAGTTAAATAAACCCAAAGAAAATACCTGAAGTAAGCCAGACGAACTACACTTTTGAAATGCTTGTCTCACTTGACTGGATAGGATATGAATGTATCTGACCTAGCTCATATGTAGGTGTCTGTGTTCTACGTCTGGCGACAGAGACAGAAGAGAAAAATCTCAGCAAAATATATATATCACCACATAGCATTTTAAGTTAATAGTGTTACCCTCTGTATTACCTTTTTTGTAACTGTATTATTTGGTGCTGAGGCCAACTTGACTGCTTCACAGTTTATACCAGAACTAATGAGAAAAACGAAATCTCTGTGTAAATGCACAAGCCCAGACACTAAACCTGTTCTCTTACCTTCCGCGCAAATAGTCCAAAAATAAACTTTTATTATCATTAGGAAAAAAAGATGCTTGAAACAAGTGTAATGTACCAAGCTTTGATAAAATGACTTTCAGTCAAAATAACCTTGCACTAGAAAACCCTTCTCTTTTTGCAGCTTATGAATATTCCAAATCCATTGGAATTCAATACAAACTATGACAACAAACTCTCAGCAAATTCCTCCTGCTGCCATCGTTAAAACCTGTGAGAGGGAGATTCTTCCCACAAACCACCAAGTGACATGATTACACATCCTGCTGTTGACATCCCCACAGCCCCTACTCTGAGAGGATGAAAACTTGTACCTGATTTAAATCACAAATCCTTGGAAAAGGGAAGAAAGAAGTTGTTACAGATGTGAAATTGCTGCATGCTCTGAGTCTGCATTAAGGAGTTCATAGCTGAGTTAGCTGAAGCATTGCCAAAAAAGAAGCAAAACCCAAAGGTCTAGATAAATCTTAGATGGTATTTCCCAGACAAGTGGTATCTATGTCTCTTGGTAAAATACACCTTTTGTGCTTCACTGGCCCACAAGCTCTTCATAATCTGTTCTCTGAAGTATGTATTTATAACCTGTCTTTACATGAGCTGTCCTTACTTTCCCAACAGATACAGGTACAGGTAGCTACCCACAGTTTATAGTCTCCCTGGGATCAGCTGAAAATTAAGATTATGATGTTCTCCATTTGTACAGATCACCTGGAACGAGTTTTCTTTATTTATTGTAGGTAAGAGATTCACAAAGCCCACTGACATTTATTTTCTTTCAACTTTCATATGGGAATTAGATCCAGATCAGCCAGAAGGTTTATGTTAAATCAAGAACAGCAAAGAGTCAAGACCTACTCAGTACTTGCTTCTTCTTCCTGAAAGTCTGAATTACCAAACACTTGGACAGATGTCATTAGATTCATGCAAGAGATACATAAAGGACAGGACGAGCTTCTGCACTATCCTAGCTTTTGGCATATTCTCCAACCAGTCCTGCTTTATATCCTGTACAAATATGGTGTAAGAACAAACCAAAGCAGAAATATCTCACAAGACTAAAAGGAATTACCTGGCATGAAGCAACATAAATCTGGTCCTTGATTACTTTTCTTAAACTGCATTTGGCTGCATCTCATCCTTCTTAAAACACTTCAGCTGAAACAGAGAAAGGCTCCTCCAGAGGGCTAAGTCTGAATTTAGAAATACCCCTTCCTCTCTGCCAACTATGTAGCAATCTTAGATGAGGTAGCTACTAAATCCAGTCTCAGCCCATGTTAGGAGGGACACGTGGAAGCACTGAGAACCTCCTGTCACCTGTGCTGCTCCAGAACAGAGCAGCAGGTCACCTATAGCCTGTTTTAGTAGCCAAGGTAGATGCCAGTTCCTAGGAGGTGGCAGACACTACTACTTGGCCTGTGGAATTTGGGGGAATTAGGTCATATTCATCTGTGTATCTGTGATCAATCAGCATATGCTGTCAGCAGGTAGGCAGGAAAGGATGCAAAGCAGCTGAGAATCAATCCATTTCTTTTAGCGCTCTTAGAAACAGCAGAGCCACAGAACTAGGAAAAGAAGTAACAAAAAACTTTGAAATGGGTGGATCATGCTGCTTTAGAAGAAAATCCAGTCTTTCCAATGGACTGGCCACAGTTGGGATTTTTGTTTTGTGGGGGTTGGGTTTTTTTTTCCTTTTTCTTTTTCTTGTTTGTTTGGTTGGTTTGTTAGGGTCATTGTCAAACACTTATATTTCACACCATCTCTTATTTTCCTCAGTTTTTACATGCATAAAGGGAAGGTTCAGTCAACCAGTCCGACAATACTATGGTAACTTTTCATCAAACTTCATTTTTAATGAAAAATTGAACTCTAGGAAATCAACCTGGTAAATAAAAAATTACCACAAAGCTCCTGCCTGTATTATGTTGACACTGAACTGCATCTCTGACATACAAATCAGGATTTGGCCTCACATGTGTGAACAAGCCTCTCCTTGTTCAGACATGGTGCTATCCCAGTCACCTGTTTTTCTCATTGTGACCAACCTCAATCTGGTACACAGAGAAGAAAATTTCTGGCAAAGTTTAAGGGCTTTGCATGAGCAAATGCTTACAATTTATAGCTGCAAGAACTATGCAAGTCTTTGAAATGGAGAGGTAGCCAGGCTCTTTGACAACATCTTGGAGTTTCAGGGTATATGACCTCCTAAAGAGTTTTGGAATTTTCCATGTGGTCTCAGCAGCCTATAAACAGAAAAGGACTACCCCCAAAGTGATCTTCCCAGGACCTGGGATCTAACATCTCACAGAAATAGCATCAGGGGGTTTCAGAGCAGTGCAGAGGATGTGGAAAGAGATGTGCATTGCCTTTGTACTCGGTACAAGGACTACACAGAAGCCGCGGAGAAAAATCAACATCCAACTCCGAACTTAAACAACAACAAAACTGGAACAGTGGGAATGAGGACAGAAGGGAGGCTCTTCTAAATCCTACATTAAGACTGCAGCTTGGGAAATAAAAACCCTGTCCCGAGTGAAGTACCAAGCAGAAGCAGCCCTACAGCCTCCCAAGGTGGGAGTTCCAAGAAGCTGTGTTAGAGCTGTCTCTGCAAAAGGTTGTTTCGTTCTGTCTTCCAGAAGATACTTAACCACTTTAAGTCCCGCATGAAATGATTTGCGGTCTGGTGCACTGGCAACACAGTTCAATCTCCTGTACTGGAAGTGTACCTACAATCTGTACCCAGGTGGATGTAGACAAAGTCTACATCAGCACATAATGTAGGCCAAACAAAAAGGTGAACCAGGCTAACTGCATGGCATCCTTAACACCTGATGTCCATATGACATCCTCTTCTAACACACTCTGAGTCTGATTCTGTAGCCTGAATATGCCGCAGCCACAAATGTGTGTTAAGTGCACTCTCCAAGTGCTCCTTTGTGTTTCTTTTGACCCAAAAGGAATCCAGTTGGTGTACTCTGCAATGTGAACCACAGCTTCCTCTGTGGGGAGGGCTGGCAATTTTGCAGTAAAAGCTCACTTCTGGGTTGAACTAAGACACTAGTAAAGAAGCACTCCAACGCACACTGTGGTCTTCAGCAGAGCTTCTGCAGAGGGTGATGACTCTGAAAGCACACTGAAAAAATATTATGCATGCTTGCTAAGAAGAAATTTTCAGTTCTTTCACCCATGAGTGTGGATATTACATTAACTCCTATAAGTTGGACTCCTTGAATTCATATTGTTTCTTATATAGAATGGTTACATTTCTACATACGCAAACCCTTCTGGAACAAAAAAGCTACAATCATTCTTGGCCATACAAAATTCCTCCATAACTAGAAGAGATAGATAGATAGATAGATAGATAGATAGATAGATAGATAGATAGATAGATAGATAGATATTTAATCAGACCTAGCAGATATCATTGAACCAGCTTTACATTGCAGAAAAAAAGGCGTAAAAATTATTTCAAAGGTCTTGAGTTATTTTCTACTTTTTCTTTTTCTCTACATATAGTCCAGACTACCACATATATAATGAGTTTTTTCAGGGTAACATTGTAAAATCTTTGCAACACAGAACTAAGTATTATCAACTACTGGTCCTAGTCTTCAACTCCTGGAAAACCTATCCAATTAAAGAAAATAGCGTATTTTTGCAAAGAAATTAGATTTTCAGATTTTCGAGTCTAAACTGAAAAAAATCATAAGGTGGTGGGGCTTTCTGATGGAAACTGAAACATTTTTGAATGTTTTCCACAAAGAATTTATAACTTGATATATTTATTATGATTTGTCATTGTTCTAATTAGAATGAGGCACATTTTGACCATCTTTAATAATGTCTTCAACTTTCACGTGACATAAACCAACATCAAGAACAAAAGTAAAATTTTCCTACACATTTTTACTGACAATGGTTTCTTTTTACCAGTTTCTCCATGTGCAGGGAAGTTCCCATTCTCTAGGAACATCTTGTCATAGACTGCAAAACACCTAACATCAGCAGAACATTTATTATTTTTTTCTAGTTTTTATCTCAAGTTTAAAAGCTCTATTGTTGAAGTGCTCAGCCCCAAGGTAAAGAAAGGTAAAAAAAAAAATTTAAAAAAATCACTCTGATATTCCCACTGTGGAATATCAGAGTGATTGAAGCTAGCACAGCCTGCATTCAGATCTCACCTACATTCTTGAACATGGCTGGATGCCAGAATAGCCATCGACAATTTTCAGTAGCAAGACATTATTGTTGGGTGCCTCACTTAAGACACCTAACAGGCCTGCTTCCAGAAGAGGGGCACATAACACTTAAAAATCACCATTTTTCAGAGACTTTTAGATGGACATCCAAAATCTAAGGGACTGAAAATCACTACTCACTCATGAACACATATATGTGTACTCTTCTACTGTATTCAACACGTGTGTATATACATGCAACATGCAAAGAGATATAAGCCAGAACATTTGTACTACACAGACTGTAAATG